GTTACCACAGCGCCCATGTGTTGGATTTATGTCAGTAACGTATTCAGTTAGCTGTAAATTCATATTCAGGTTTCACTACATCGTGTCTTGGTGACTTCATTTACTTCCTGTTAGTTCGTCCTCTGTGGGCCTTTCGGAGATGATCACTAAATTTGAGCACCAAAACGATGTCATGTCTCGCGAAGTCGCCTTATTGAATGTTGGCTTTCAGCTCACCCAATGCATCTTAAGGCAAGTGCGTCAATGGTGAATATGGAGTTTGTTCTTAGGACAGCCCACTTTGGCGTAATTGATTTGTCCTTTTTTGTCAAACTTTAAGGTTTTGTAGTTAATCCTTACGTACCAGTCGGGTTAGCCATTGGGTGCCTCCAGTTTTACTGATAAGATAATTTGATATCCTATGTGTATCACGCTTGTAGAATAAAGCATACACAATATAAGTTGGTACAAGCAGGCAGAGAAGGTGTGCATCAAAGGCATTCTATCTGCTCACACAGGTTGTACTGACGACGACGATCCGTTAGATCAATTCTATTACACTGCCCAGTACAGCTGCTTGCAAAATGCTACACATATTTTTGGTCAAATAACATGATGAAAATACAAAGGTATGTTCTGAATTTGTGTTAAACAATGCCATTCTTCGTTAGAAGAAATCTACTTCTAGCGATTTTGTGAAAGAAAGTATAAATGATGGTATTCATTGGAATGTATCTTTACACTCACATGTCAGAATTATCCCCGAATGATGCGCTCAGCATCAAGTTCATTCTTTTCCATCAAGCACCGCAAGTATATTGATCAACTGGCCCTGACTGAACCTTGAGTTAGGCAAAACTATTATCGTGTAGGCGTACTCAAATTGATCCAAAGGAAGGGACTCGTTTGCCCACGAATTTGGTAGACCAGAATTCACATTGTTATTGTATATCGATTTCTGATGTCCTCTTTCTGAAATAGCATAAATTCCGCTTTCGCTTAGATACATGCACCATTGTAATTTCGAAGCGGGTGAACACCGCACCATTCGCCATTTGATGATGGGACTACAATGGATGCTGAACAATGGGGGCAAAAAAATGTGAGTTATTACTTGCAGACACGCAGTTGGAAAATGCGTCAACCAGCGCACGCAAAAATGCCCAAACGTTTCCATTGACTGCAATCAATAGTTAGGAAGGTTTGCTACCGCAAAGCACTTTCTTTCATTCACCGTTTTCAGCTTGATGCAAATGGTTTGCAGGAAAAAGATATTAGGCACTTGATAACTACTGAAATGCTGACTGCGAAACTCAGTGATTGACTGACTCGCCGTATTTCATCACGCCTGTCCATCTAGTAAATGAGTAGTGTGACTATCGATGAGCTAGTTTCATATTTGTAAGCTATGGGATATGTTTCTGTCAGGTTTTGGTTTAACATCTTCACTAGTTTCACGAGCGTTCAATGGAAAGCAACTGATGTAACGTTTCAGTTTCAAACTGCTGGACAAGACTTGCATACGTTGACACTCGGCATTCCTACCATCCCGGAAGCGCATCCGCTCCGTTCCGTATCTAAAACACTTCCAGTAGCACTAGTTACATTAGGCTTAGTGACCATGCAGTTTTAAGTATGTTGACAGGTACCACAGAGGATAGAGTCATACTAGGTTCACAATCTTCCACGACAGGAGCGGAGTTGAATTAGACTTCGATATTCCAATAGTTTTAGCTGTATTTATCTACGCAATTGTTCGTCTTGATGCACCATGATTTTTGGAAATTATCCAGAATGTTCATACTCCGGATGCGGATAAGACAGTGGGTTGATTTCCGAGGTGAATTGTTTGTTTGCAGCCTATTCGTTCCAGCAGCAGGTAACTTGGTACTGCAACTTCTATCGATAGTGCAGTTGTATACACATAAGCAATACGTTGCATTCGTCTTAAGCAAAAAGATAAATCACTGAGGGGTACGCTGTTAACAAAGTCAACTTTAGGAGGCATATAACAGGAAACAACTGTGATTGTTTCACTCCGCAGCAGGTAAAATTCCTCCTCATTTTCCATTTCGGAAGTCAGGCGTTTCAAAGTATGATGTCAAATAACCCTGGACATAATCTTTTTAATCTGATCGCTGTTCGTCAGAACGCGAGTTACACCAGTATCAATGAAAGCCTTAGTCTAAAGTGTATTCAAAAGCTAGTTTTCTTAAAATTCACCGGTTTACCAATTAACCGCTGAACAATAAATGATATTTTTCTGTGGTAGTATTTCCGTACTTTTTCCCACTGACGACGGCGCAAATAGTTATGTTCATAGTTGCAGCAAAATGTAACTGACTAGCCGAGTCGCATACATCAACTGAAAAGCGGTTGCTCCTACTAGTTAGTCAAATGTTTTACAAGTGCACTTAGAGGAAATATTTGGCAAATGGTTTGTTCCCACCACAACTTGCAATTAGTTCTTACGACAAAACCTCAAATGACGCAAGTAACTAGAGTTGCGCAGCATAAAGCGGGGCAAATGTATGCTTTTCACAGAGTTGGAGAGTTGCGTGGCGACAACGGAGAATTTTCAACGGCTTTGTTCTATTGTATACGTAAAACAATAACCCATTATGAACTAGGTAACAGTTACTTCTCAAGTATATGGTCGAAGGTACGCACTTGTGACTGTGCATCCGCGTGTTTTGTGCTACCTGGTTTTTAGCCTGTGTAGCATGGGGAGTTCGCGCAACAGAGGTATGGGGTTTTTAAGTTAACGCTAGCACTTGAGTAAAGGGTCACCAGGGTCGCATTCGGATTTCACATGTGGACTGACACTCACTTCCTATACAATATATCAACTATTAGTAAATGTGTTATTCGCATTTGGAGAATGAGACATCAGGTTCTACCAACCTGTGCATTGACATGGCAATAGTTTATTATCAAGGTTGATAGAGAAGAAAGCTGAGATAGCATTAACTTTCAGCAACCTTTTACGTAAACTGCTGTTGGGAAAAAATGATCAATTCAACCCACCTAACGTGAGGTGAATAGTTTTCAGATAAATTTCTAACTTATACTGTCGTACACATCCCTTACTTGGCTGTTCCCGAATGTATGTTATAAGAGTCCAGTTTTTATTTTTTGCACGTTCAGGATTACAGGACAAAGAAACGACATCAGCAGTACACCCGTACGCAGCGCCGAAGCTTTGCTGCCGCGCTACCAGCATTAACCACACGTGGGCTAAATATACTGCAAGATTCGCCCGATCCCCACCTAGGCTCAGACACGCGCCGTCAAATTACAGGCCAGACCTGTGATCCTCAAGACTATGGGCCCGGTTCATAATTACATTGAAGAGAACACATGACCCATAAGCTAAGGAAATATGTAAACACCTTGAAATTCTATGCAGTTACATTAGTTGAACAGTGAAATTTACAAAGTTAGTAGTTTAGGAAGGGTACTAATTTCTATGACTTCATGTCCGTTATGGAGTATTGAGACATCGGTAAGGGGAATAAGCCACATAGTTACTTAAAACTACTAATAAAGGTATTTGCTTCATAAGTAATTTTACGCACGCATGCCAAAAGTTGACAAGATTCCTCAGCGGTGTAACTACCTTTGAATCAGTAGCCTAAAGCTGTACTCCTTTAGAAACATTCGAAATGTTTAACAACAAATAATCCAGACATCGGCTGTCTGGATGTTATTCGACACGCCTTCACTCCTACCTTCGTGTCGGGAGTCAGATACCAATAGTGTGACGAGTTGCTTGCTAAAATTGCAGTTATGGCTAGATAGCTAGCAGAAGACGGATCATAGCAATCATTATCATGGAGAGGGAAATATACCGCTCCTCTCACATAACTCCCAATGTGACATATTCGCAAATGCTAAAATCTCCATTTTCTCTGCAAGCTGAATTGCACTGCAGTGAGTGTATACCCATTGGCACATTGTCCTGACTGAACCGGTATCTAATTGTGCCATTATTAGACAAACCTGGTGTCTGACTTGACAGTGTTTATGTATAACATCGGTTGTTCCGGCAAGTGCAAGCATTACTGATTTCCATGATGCCCCTACTTCGGATTGTAGCTTGTCTGTAGTTTTCCTCTCACCTGAAAGAATGAGTTGATATGGGTATTCGTTTTGATGAAGAGGCAGGTAATTGATTGGAAAAATAAAGAATTAAGGGGAATCCAACCGGACCGAAAATCCACCGTGGAGGAATATATCTGGTAGGAGGCTCAGTAATGTGATTAAAGCAATGACCATTTGCCTGAAATAAACTAATGAATTAATAAATTTTGTGTGGGGTGTGGCCTCAGTTTCGGTATTGAGTCTAAATTTTTGCGTCTGGCTATGGCACTTAAATGGAAGTCTTATTGACTATGTGCGTTTAATAAACGACTTGGGATTAATGACTAAAATAGTTCCGTTGGACTGGAACTAATTACAGCTATGTGGAAAAGCGTAGCCAGAACCAGAGGCGTAGCATTGGGGGGGGGGGGGGTTCGCCCCCGGCGGTAGGGGACAAATGGCGGCATTTTGGTACAGGTGCTTGGTCGATACCAAGTGCAACTTAGTCAAAAGTACTTTCATGATCGAAGTGAAAAAAACGAAGTGCGATGATCATACTGAGACTGAATATGAAGTTGGAACTGCAAACGGTAATACCCGGGTAATATAAAACTAAATTGATAGCATTGATGCTGTGGGAAATGTCGGTAATGCTGACGCAGATGCGCGCGAATTTGAAGAATTTAAAATACAACCACTACCTGGTACGATAAAACGTAATTTAACCAATTGTTCTGATGTGTATCGGTGGCATGTTAAGCTTGACTAAGAAATCCGTACTAAGGTTGTCCGGCTGGGATCTACTGCAGTGTAGCATCTCGATCATGGATCCAAAATAGGAGCGCGACCTGGAAAGAATGCAGAAGTTGAAGCTAGGAAGACGATAATGAATTGTTCTATTCCAGGCCCTCTTTCGCTTCAGTAGCAGAATGTATTCAATGGGATAGTCTAGTTTGCCGACTGATGTTAGTTTCAGAAACGAGTGGAAATTAAATGCAAATATATGTAAACAAGCAAATAGCAATTCACACGTATAGGCCTACCACAACTGCAAATAGCTAGAAATCCAACTACTTGAAGAGGAACGGATTGACCAACTGGAGCAAGTGCTTATATAAAATTCAACCAAGAGGTGGCGTGTAATTCTATTTGGAGTGCTGGACATCATCAGTTTTCTCGCCAAGAAGGATATAGCACGACGTCGTGAACGATAAGATATTCAAGATGGTAAAATTGACAAAACAATTGGAGGGTATTTTTCAGCATTTGTATGATTGGTGGCTAAGTGTGACTTTGTTCTTTGTGAACATTTGGTGACAATTCAGCTGGGAAAAGAAAGCAGCACCTCTTACTTGTCTCTATTTGTACAAAATGAATTCGTGAACATTTTGGCAAAGCAGGTTAGAAAGAAAATCATGCATCGAGTCAAAGAAAGCAAGCATTTTTGCATAATTTTCGATGGCACTGCCAATGTACACAAAAATCAGGTGAGTGAGGTGACGCACCTCGTAAAAATGAAGGAAAACGAAGTGAAGATTGATAAGTCTTATCTCAGCGACTGTGGAAACTAGATGGAGTAGCCGAACAGACGCTGTGAATTTTGAGGTACTCAAATACTCGGAAATCGTCACTGCTCTGGAACAACCCATGAAAAGGCAAGCTGCAACCACAAGATCAGATTCATCTTTAGTATTTATCACAGTATTGTAGTTTTCTTTTATTTCTTTTCTGGGCCTTTCGAGATTTGTTCCCTCAGAAAAAGTATTGCACATAAATATCTTCAAACAAAAGGCCTAGATCTCCACAAAATGTTGTCAGACTCACAACATTCTGATTTCGCATTCTTCATAACATAGAAGACAAGGTGGATAGTGCAGTGGATGGAACCAAAAGCTCTGCTCTGAATTACGGATAAGCATGTCTAGTGAAATCCGCCAAGGAAAACGAATGGGTGGTGAAGAACTATTTAATACATCGATGGAATTCGATGCTGAAT